AGAAGAAGAAGAAGAAGAAGAAGAAGAAGAAGAAGAAGAAGAAGAAGAAGAAGAAGAAGAAGAAGAAGAAAAGGGCCGGGGAGATGGCTTAGTGGAATAAGTGCTTCCCTAGCAAGTGCAAGGGCCTAAGTACAATCCCCGGTTCCACCAAAAAAAAAAAAAAATCAACAAAAACTTATCCCTTTGCCAAAAAGAGAGAGGAAAGGAGGGAGGAGGGAGAGAAAGTAAGGAAGAAAAGAAAAAGAAAGAAAAGAAAAGAAAGATCAGTCCATCACCAAGAACTCATCCCGTTGGCCAGGTAAAAAAATTCTTGGGCTGGGGTTAAAAATTGTAAAGCTCCTGAAAATGTGTGAAAACTAGGAAGGAAGATTTACAAATTTCTAAATTGCGACTGAACTTAGGAAAGGAAAAGAAAACAACAGGAAAAGACCAGCGGAGGGCACCGTGCCCCTCTCCTCCCCCGCAGGGTGCCCTGCTCCCAGCCGGGCTTCCTTCCAGAACTCCAGAGCCTCCTGCCCCGGTCTCTCCTCTGCCCCCTAGCGGTCACCTGATGCTACCACGCACATGTCCGGCAGCCACCCCTTGCTGTAGCAGCGCTACCTTCACCCACCCTCGCCTCATCCCAGAGTGGCGCTCTTGACTGCAGCGCCCTTCCGCTGCGCCCCACCACATACAGAACGGGGCGCTCTTCCCGGACACGGCCCACATTCCCGGCTGAGCTCTTTCACAAATTCTGTCTCCTCTCGCCCCAGTTCCTTTTTGTTTTCCTGCAGAAACCCTGCTCCAACACCATGCAACGCCATGTCCTCTGGGGAGCTCTCCATCCCAGCTGGCCTCGAGCCGTCTCCCTGGATGCCGCGATGTACCTGCACGTGCTTCCAAAGGCAACTCGCGCACCGCAGAGGCTGTACCGCTCGCGCTCTGCTCCCTGAAGCAGCTGGCACAGGGCCTGCCACACTGTGGGCACTCGAGTATGCACGGATCAAACTACCCAGCTCCGCTCCAGGGAAGTCGCAGGAAGGAAGGGCTCCGAGTACGTAAATACCAAGTTAAAGGGCCAGTGATATATTTTCAGAGAAAGTTTCAGAGCATAAAATATGTGTATGTGACAAAAAATATTTTTCTTCTGTGGGACTAGAACCTATACGTTTTTTGTGAAGTTATGAGGGTCAACAACAGACACAGACAGACAGACAGACAGACAGACAGACAGACAGACAGACACACCCCTCTCTTTCCAGATACAGGGGAATACATCAGTTCATAATTCTGGCTACCAGTCCAATCAGATGAAAATCCAATAGAATTCAACAGTTAAGTTCAATGTTGACCTTGTGGGGAAATTTGATTCCATTCTTAGCCAATTCAGTTCTCGACTAGGATTGTGGAAAGGATTAAGTTTGTGAACCACGGCACCGCACTAAATAATAAATGAACTAAAGGAGGGCAACCTTTAAAAACAATTCACTCTATTCTTTTCCCCAGTCAACGTGTAAAAATACAAGAACTGCTAGCTAACAGTGCTGTCACGATGGAACCATCAACAGGCTCTACAGAATCAGCCCCAGAATAGTGCTGGCTCCTTCTTTGTGACTCCCAGTGAACATGAAGCCAGGTGACAGGTCACGAGTTTTTCCTCAGTTATGGTCTCCAGAAATGAACGAACGAATGAATGAATGAATGAATGCATTGAATGAGACTTCATTCAGAATTCACTAAAAGGCAGTGCTTTTCAAAACATTTTTCAAAATATTTGAAATGTTTCCCATCTGCTGCACATGTACTTTTAAAATGCAATAAAAAATGTCTACTGGTTGATGAGTGCTTCCTCTACTTCGTCTGTCATGGACCCCCGAAGCTCCGTTCCCCCAGTGTGGATCCCACAGCCTAGCACCAGCAGGTTGAGGGCCTACCTTCTGTTCCTGGACTTCAAACACTGCTTCGTGGACGCTGCAGGCAAAGAGGGAGGTAGGCAGATCGCTCAAATCCATCATCTCTTCCAGATCGTCTTCATTTTCACCAAAAACCATCTCTTCTTCCTCTTCTTGGTCACTGCTACAGAGATCTGACTGGCTGTCATTCCAAGATTTCATATTGTCCCTTAGCATGGTCCCCTAAAAGACAGTCTTGGCCGTTTTGAAAATTCTAGGATGTCTACCAGGCACCTGCTGGTAAAACAAAAACAACACAGAGATAAAACTTTGAAGACCACATAATGGTTCAATCAATCAGTTTCTCCAGACAGCAATTCATCAAGTGAAGTAATTTTAGCCAGGGAAGATCAATCAGAATTTAAATCAAGTCATCTCAGTCCTCATAAATGAATTCCATGCAGGGGAATTAGATTTGCTTAGCATATTTTGCAAGGCAATGATATATTATGAAGAAAAGGGCTGGCCAGATAGCTCAGCAGATTAAAGTGAATGCTTAGGTAAATGCAGGGGCTGGGGTTTGATCCCCCGTGTGCTGTGCCAGCCCCAATCCCAGGGTGCACTGAGACAGCAATTGAGACTGGGTGTGGTGGTGTGTGCCTGTGATCCCAGCCCTTGGAAGGCTGAAAACGGGAGGATCAGTATGAGTCCTATTTGCGTAGAGAGACCCTGTAGACCCTGTACTAAATACATTAAAAAAAGTTTCCTAGTGAAACTGGGAAAGAAGGGATAAAACAAGATTGTATCAATATGTACACTAGTTTACAAGCACTAGGAAGGAAAATGTGAACCAGAGCTGCTTTCACATATTTGTTTTGGGTTTTAGGTCTAAAACACTGGAAGTGGCAAAGCAGAATCAAGCCCACACGGATCCACTCACCATCTGCACCCTGAAATACGGTCTGCAGTGCGCTGGCTGTGTCTTTCTCATCCAAGTTTTTTTTTTTCCCCCTTTGAATATCGCCTCCGAAGAATTACATTACTCAGAAGCAAACATTCTCTCTAAAGTCAGTTTGTGTGCGTTTGTATTAAAAATATTTACAGTTGGCAAAATTAAACAGAGAACACAACCCACAAGGGGTCTTTTTCCAAAATTTTTCAACATCACTAATTTAAAGCCAGAGGGACCTGTAGTGGACAGTTCAGCACCAGGACAGAATCTGTCTTCCGGGACGGATTGTGCCTGCCTGGCTCCTGCATGGAACTGCATGCCACACCCACTGAGCAGAGTCCCACAGACAGGACACATTCTGAGATGTCAACACGGGTATTAAGAAAAACCTATCAGGCATGGAAACCTGAAGTGAGCACGATCGTGGCTCCTTAGATACGTTCTGATTTGTGACTTTCTATTTTATTTCAGAGAATACAAGGCCACAACTATACCACTTCTATAAAGCATATTACAGAATGGCAAGATAAGGTTTTGTCAGTATTCTACTGCATCCATTAAGCCTGATTCTAAAACGTACTTGTTTATGTTCTCTGAGAGCCTACTGCTTTGCACTGGGGGGTATCCATGAATAAGACATGGTTCCTAGGGCCAGCCAGATAGCTCAGTGGACTAAAGCGCCTGTTTAGGCAGGCACAGGGACCGGGGTTTAATCCCCAGCGTGCTGTGCTGGCCTTGCCCCTGGGGTGCGCTGAGACTGCAAATGAAACCAGAAATTGTGGCACATGCCTGTAATTCCGGCGCTTGGGAGGCTGAAAATCAGGAGGATCACTACGAGTTCAATCTGTGTAGTGAGACCCAGGAGACCCTGTTCTATATACATTCAAAAAAAAAAAAAAAAAAAAAAAAGACAAGGTTCGTACCCTCGCGGAGTGCCCTCTCACCAAGAATTTCTCCAGCGATGCTAGCCACACCGTGTTCCTACCGTGTGGAACTCTTGTCCTTTTTACGGTCTGTTACATTCCCCACTTCTCATCCTGCAGTGCTCCTTTGCTGTGGCAAATGAGTGTCCGCGTTCACGGTCCCCACCAGGGGATGCTGCTCCACCTTTCTGCTAACTTCCTGCAAAGAGTCACATGTATCTATTGCGCTCGCTTCCTCCACACCAGACACTCCTGAATTCACTCCTGGATGTCTGTCTGCCCTACGGCTTTGGCTCCCCCATCCTCATCCTGCTCAGCAATGCTCTCCTAATAGCAGGAACCTCGTTTCAGGCCTCGCCACCCACCCGGTTTGTTCCCAGACTTCTCTGTGCCCTGCCTCTTGGGTCATCCTCCTCACCCACTGTCTTTCCAGCTGGCTCCTCTTTCTGGGTCCTGCTTCCCAAGTCTGTCCTTCTGGGTTTACAGCCCCACCCTCTTTTTCTCTTACTCTTCCTGAGTGGTTTGATTGACTCTGAAGCCTTAAGCTTGAGTCACACACTGAGCCTGAACCACCTGTGGGCCCTCAACTGGCTTCCTGGGGCCAGGGAGACAGCTTAATAGAATAAGCGCTTGCCTGGCAAGCACAAGGTCCTGAGTTCAATCCCTGGTACTGAAAAAAAAAAAAAAAAAAAAAGAAGAAGAAAAAGCAAAAGAAGGTCAATTGGCTTCTCGCTTCTCTGTGGTCTATACTCAGCTGCATCAACAATCTCCCTCTTCACAGGGTTCTTAAGACAGAAAGGATGGCACGGAAGGAAGAGTGGGGTCTCCAAGTCACAGGCAATGGAAAGGATGGGTAGTTTAGAAAAAACACCAAGTCCCCAAGAGACTCAGAGGCGCCCACTGGCTTTTCCTGCCTACGCACACTTAAAACCACTGCTCTACAGGGCACTGTCAAGTGTATACACAGCTCCCTTCTCCTGGTTTCTAGACACGTTATTTTAGCATCTTCGTGAACCTAGGTTTATCCGGGTCTTACAATTGTTTTTTACCTTATTCCTTCTACTAGATCATGGCGCCTGAAACCTCCAGTGTGAAGGGGGCCCTGGAAGGGAGGAGGTCACAGGGAATGCCTGGATTGTGCTGTGGCTCTCCCTGCAAACTCTGCTTTAACACTAAGGGGTTGGGTAGAGTTCGGGGCTCTCATTTGCATTATGGTTATTTGTTTATAAACTGCTCCTAGCTACCAAGCTGTGAGTTCCTCTGAATCCTCTTTTCTTTGAATCCCTGGCATGGTTTCCAGCGCACAGTTGCTTAATCAAGGTCTCCTGACAAAAAGCAGACAGCACCGTGATGTCCCCACTGACAGGTCAGCATGGCAAAAGGAAATTCAATTCTGCCCAGGATTTGACAGCTTCCTGCAGGAGGGCAAGATGGGGCTTTCAAGGGTGAGCTGAGCTTTGGCAGGAAAGGAATAGATTGCATTCCAGGGAAAGTCGCCAGGGCATGAGCCACGTCAGAAAGACAGGTGAGCATGCCTGAAGGCCACAGCCAGCCCTGGTGCGGCCACAGGGAGCTGGTGGGAGGGGTGGGTGGCAGGAGCCAAAGTCAAGAAGGCAGGGGTGGGCCACCCAGGTGGCCCCAGGTGGGGCTGCAGAATTTTCAGGCAGGGAGATGCCAGAACTCACCACTTTGCCTTTTGGTATCATCAACTGTGGGCGCTCTAGCTTTTCTCTTAGTGGCACAGATCTCATTATCTGACCCCTCCCAACCCATTAAAAAAGAGGCAGGGAAAAGAATGCCCACTTTTTCTGCAGGGCGTCAGATTTTGAAATCTGAGAAAGTCAGCCTACTTTGGATGAGATTTTCTGAGGTTTGTTTGGGGACTGAACCCAAGTCTGGGTACACACTGAGTGTGCTTCATGGCTCAGCCACACCCCCAGCTTCTTGATAAAGATTTTTCTTTCTTTCTTTCTTTTTTTTTTTTTTTTTTTGGTTTCAAGCTCTTTCCCCTGAGCCTTAAGAGAAGAAAAAGAGCACAGGAAACAATCTTTTGCCCGACTGAAAAAGAAAATTCTTAGAATATCATACCTTCATTTCCTGTTTTCTACCTTCAATGTCGGGTGTTTTTTCTTTTGATATAGAAGTTATAAGAATAGAACAAGAAACTCCTGAACATCCTTTGCCAAGCGTTACCAATTTTGTCTGCTTGCTTTATTGTTCTATTTTTATACATATGCTCAGAGCCACTGAAAATAAGATAAAAAAATGTAGCTCCTTTTACTTCAAAATTACTTCCAATATGTAAGAACAATATTGCTTTCTTACATAACCTATGGCATAACAAGAGGGAATTTAGCACTGGCATAATACTGTTATCTAATTTGCAGTCTATATTAAAATTTTGCCAGTTATTTCAATTGTCTGTTACTCTTTTCTTGTTGCTGGGACAAAATACCCAACACCCAGAATTAAGGAAGAAAAGGGTTTATTTAGCTCACAGTGAGTGGACATTTCAGTCCATATTCAGCTGGCTCCAAGGCAGAGTGGCATGTGGCCGAGATGGCAGAGAGCAAAGGGAGGGGCAGCAGCTGTGGCCTCTCTCCCTTCCTTACGTTGTAATGCAGATTATCTGTCCCAGGGTGGGTGCTGCACTCAGACCCATAATCCCAGCGTGGGATGATGAATTAATCACGAACTCCAGAAGCTGCCCCATTGACTACATGAGGCTTTTTTGGGGGACACCTAGATACAAATCATAACACCAATAGTGTCCTATTTACAGGTAGGTTTTCCTTCAGCGTTTTTAGACTATTATTACTTTATTTCTATTTGGCCCAACATATTTTAATAATTATTAGATTATCACATTGATTCATTTTCTTTTTTAGAAATTTTTTATTTGGTATAGGGTCTCACCAGGCAGCTTGGACTCACAGTGATCCTCCTGTTTCAGCCTCCCCAGCGCTAGATTACAGGTGTGCACCACCATGCCCAGTTTCAGGGCCTGCACAGCATGCTCCAGGACCAGCATGGCATGTGGTCCTGGAGATCCAATTCGGGCCCTTGCGCTTGCCAGGCAGGTACTTGGACTGCCAAGCTACCTTCTAGCCCAGATTCATTCTGTTACACATTTCTAGGATCGATCACTCCTATACCACGGTAACTGGCAACAAAACTGAGCAGATCCTAAGTAAGCTCCAGAGAGAGGCCCAGGCTCCACAACCAGCCTTTCCAGATGGGAACTTGAGCTGCTTCTATGCTCTGTGTTAGGTAGATGACTTGCCTTCTTTGTTTCTGCTTCCTTAAGTAAGAAAATGCATACTAAGTACTCAGAGTAATATTCTGCATAAAGTCAGTGCTAAATAATCAATTATTTTAACAGAAGCAGAAAGTTCCTTCTTCATTGGGTTGAAAGAATCTCAGCAAGATAAGAACCAACGGGTAGGAGTGATATTCAAATCATAAAGTGAAACAAAAAAATCCCCTTATGATCTGATTCCAAGCATCAAAAGGCAACAAAAAAATAACACTCTGTATCATTTCAAGAAAGCTACTTAGTAGTAGACATCAATAAAATAAGTCTAAGAGAACCGCCAGAAGTAGTCAATCTGGGCCCAGTATGAAAACATGTACAGATTTTTTTTTTTAAGAGTTAGCTAGCTGGAAGGCTGAGAGATAGCTCAGTAGAATAAGTGTTTCTCTGGCAAGTGCAAGGGCCTGAGTTCAATCCCCGGTTCCGCAAAAAAAAAAAAAAAAGTTAGCTGGAAAAGGACACGGTGCCCTTTTACGGACCTTATAGAATTTCAAATCATCAGGCCAGGGCCTAGGGTATCATTGTCATTCAGACATTTTTTCTCCCTACGAAAAAGCCATGAGGGTTTTCTGGATATAGCAAAAGTCAACTTTGTCAAACACTTCCTAATTTTCTGACATTCTAACTGCAGTTAAAGTGGAAAAGAACAGGAACTATGTAAGGAGATCATGGAAGATAACACAGCTGTTACTTAGAAGCAAGGTAAGACACCACAGATGCTGCGGACATCTGTTGGGCCTCCGCAGGTATTACTGGAGTTGCTGCTAACTCGGCGCCACTGCTATGAGACCAGTTGCTCCCCCATTTATGAACCCCAGGAACCCTTCCCTGGCTC